ATGCAAAATGCCTTTTATGAAATGAAAAGCATGATATATGGTGAAAGTAGAAAGGCTATGCAAGTGAGGGAATATGACCACCACAGTCGGCTGACTGGAATACTTTTCATTCCAAGCGATAGATTAAAAGGAAAAATAAGTGAAATATTGCGTGATCTTATGGAACCATCAGCTTACTTCTCCGTCGACCTAGTTGAATCATCGTAGTGAGGCGCAGAGCTGACAGGCCATTGCACGTGGTGGGGATTAAGTCGACGGGGTAAAGAGTTTATTGTGTGAAGAATCTGCAAAATATTGAAATGTATTTTGATTGATGAAATAGTGGGAGAGGTACATTTGTATGGAAAGAAGTGACAAATATCAATATCAAATATCAATCCATCCACTCTATATATATCCTACTATTACCATTACTCCTCTATCTACAATCATGTACCCATTCATCTGCATCCACCCATCCACACATTCAACCACGTATCCCATTATACTTCCATCCTATATTCATCCGGTATCCGTTTTCCATCAATTCATTCATCCTCCCATCTGTGTATACATCCCCTTTCCCAGCCACCGATGCTCTCATCCATTCATTCAACATCTTTGTCAGTATGAGACGGAATCGAGATGGAGTGCACGAAGAGGAGAGGAGAGGTGTGTGCATGTGTAGATACAAAATGCTAAATAGATGAATGCATTTACGGTGTACACGTAATTCATCTGTGCATTGTAGGCACCCCCGAATTAGCTCAGCACCGATGCCATCACTTACACACCTCCTACTCCAACTCTCACTAGTGCCCACATCACAACCACCCACTCACCCCAACTCGTTCCTCATTATTCGCGTGGCATTGCCCCACACTTCACCCAGCCACGTGGTACAGAATGTCACCTAGTAAAATGCCTTATTTAATGGAACAAATGACCTCGTGAATACTGGATGAACTTGACTAAGTTGAGGCAACAAATGTAACTACACGGTGTGCGAACCAGGAAATGCGATCCTCGTACCCACAGAAGGTAGTTGCCCCCGCTTGCCGCCTGTGATGTCGACGTCCTTGCCTTCTACATCCTTCTGCTCATCTGCTTCATACACTACTTTCTCATGCCTTCCACTCGACATGTGCACATCCATGTGATGCATTTTATCGGAGAGGAGTTTGGGTTTGGCGCTGCACCAAGCGATGAAGAGGACGAGAGAGAGGGTGACAAAGGTGAGTGCAGTCTTCATCTCTACGCTTCAGATGGAGAAGCTGCACTGATTTTGCCTCCCATATAGGAGGCAGTGGCCTTGACCGATTGTGTGAGACGATGGCACCAATT